GGGCTCGGCTCACCCTTCCCATGGGGTTTGCTTTGGGAATGACAGCCTCTAAGATCCTGAGGACCCCTGCCCATCTCCCATGTGGGCTCTTTTGCCTGGGCTTCTCCGCGCACGCACAGGCGCAGGTCTGCGCACACATGCTCACACACACGCAGACACACACACCACACACTTCCTGGGACTCAGAGTCGGACGGGACGCTGGGGAAGTGACTGGGGGAAAGATGAAAGAGGGCGGGGGCTGCTCTGTCATGGGCAGGTGCATCCAGTACCCAACAACATGCCCGGGGCCATGGCACGGGGTTAGGGGGCAAGGGGAGGACACGCCGGCTTGATGGGCGGGGGTTCTCCAGGGTTCCCAGGACCTGTGTGGGCTGGGGCAGCCTGGAGAGGACAGATTGTGGGGTTCTGTGTTCACCGCTGTGATCACCTAGAAGCAGGAGAAGACCCCTTCAGTGTGGAGGGGACTGTAGGAAAGGAAGCCTCAAATTCCTGCTCTATAAATTGGAATGTTCGGCCTGGGTGACCCCAAGGGTCCCACAGGCTCGTAGACGTGTCTGTCGGCCTTGGGTCTCCACTGGGGATGCTCCCACTACCCACCGAAGTCTGTGGAAAATGCCTTCTTCTTGGAGGTCCTTCTGAGCAAGAGAAGCCTGGGGGGCTGAAGGGCTGAGGGCCTGGGGTGGTGCAGAGTGCGCCCAAGCACTGGACCACTCTTGTGGGGCAAGACTGTCCTTGTTGGAGCGTCAGGGTTCTTATCTGGAAGTGGGGCCAGAGCCGTTGCCCTGGTTGGAGTGAGGAGGCCTCACGAGTGAACTGGACACCCCAGGGCCAGCAGAGGGAAAGAGGGGAGCCAATGAAGCTTCTGAGGCTCCTTGAATTACCCCTGGAGCCTGCAGGTTCTGCTCCTTTGACCCTCTGGGACTCAGGACAGCTGCTACCTTGACAACACCCAAACAAAGGTGTGTGTTTTGTTTTCTGGGTTTTCTGCCCGAGGCTGCTGCTGTGCTAGTGCCGGCCACCAGGGGGAGGCAGTGCCCATTGTGCTCCACGGAGCAACTGGAGTCAGGGAGAGCCCCGCAGGGTCCCTCTGGGTGACCCCGGCCTCCACCCAGTGCACACCCCCCATTACTAGCATCCCTCTCCACAACGTTAGCTGCTCAGATGCGGAAGTGGGCTCCGAGAGCCTCCTCTTTGCCTTCAGCAGGTGTGCCCAAGCACTCACGCTGGGTGGGGGAGCAGCATTGGGCTTGGGCGTGGCTCTGAAAATGACCCAGGTGGGCCTGCCCTCCAGAGCTGGCAGTCGGGAGCGGGCGATGGACAGGGCACAAAAGCAAACAGGCAAAGAAAGGAAAAAGGAAGTGCTGCCAGGGAGGGCTGGGGCCTGCTGGGTGGGGGTCTGAGAGGTCTTGCTAAGGGGACATCTGTGCTGTGACCAGAAGACAAAGCATGGGCCAGCCCTGCACGAGTCTGGACAGTGTGATGGAGAAGGCTCAGCAGACAGGGCTGGAAGGCACAAATGAGTTTGGCCAGAGAGGAGTGAGAAAGCAGGCCAGTGTGGCCCAAGTGAGCTGGGGGCGGGAGGGGAAGCCCAGGGGCCTGGAGACAGCTGTGTGACAACACTACCCTAATGTACAGCTTTCAGCAACAGACTCTGATCATCACACAGTTTCTGTGGACCCAGATCCAGGGCAGCTCAGCTGGGTGCCTCAGCCCCCAGGTCTCAAGGGAGGCTGGGACTGGGGTCTCAGCCGTGGCTGGACTGGGCAGGACCGGCCCTCAGGCCTTTCTCATGTTATTGGCAGGACTCAGTTTTGACTGAGGGTGTCAGTTCCTCTGTGACTGTTGTGGGGACCCTCCCTTGGTTCACTGCCATGTGGGCCTCTGTAGGGCAGGCAGCTCACGGCATCAGAACTCACTTCCCCAGCGTGAGGCGTGAGGGTAGGAAGGAAAACAAGAGCAAACAAGCAAGACAGAAGTCATGGTTTTTTGTAAATCTTGGAAGTGACCTCACAGCACTTGTGCTGTATTCTGTTGGTGAGAAGCCAGTCACTAAATCCAGTCAGCCTTGGAGGAAGGAGATCACTCAGCAACTTATGTATCAGGAGGCAGGGCTCTCTGGAGCCAGTGCAGAGGCTGCTTGGGACAGAGGCTGAGAGGAGGTAGTCAGGCCTGATTCTAAACATAATGGAGGCCAGGCGTGGTGGCTCACACCTGTAATCTCAGCACTTTGGGAGGCCGAGGCGGGTGGATCATTTAAGGTCAGGAGTTCAACACCAACCTGGCCAACATGGTGAAACCCCGTCTCTACTACAATACAAAATCAGCCGGGCGTGGTGACAGGTGCCTGTAATCCCAGCTACTCAGGAGGCTGAGGCAGAAGAATTGCTTGAACCCAGGAGGCGGAGGTTGCAGTGAGCCGAGATCGCACCATTGCATTCCAGCCTGGGGGACAAGAGTGAGACTTCGTCTCAAAAAACAAACAAATGAGACTACATCTCAAAACACAAATAAATAATAAATAAATAAATAATAAAAAGGAACGAAATCAGTGAGCCCTAATAACACTGACTACCCCCAACACTAGCTCAACCCCTGTGTGAGGCCTCCTTCCCCCAGGCTCCCTCGAGCCCCATCTTACACCAGCTGAAGCTGCAGCTGGACCTCGTGGTCCCGGGTGCTGTCAGGGAAGACAAGGATGGAGGTGGGGAAGGAAAGACCTGACTTTCTCCCTGCCCAGGCTGAGTCCGCTGTCACCTTGGGTCCCCCAGCTCCCAGCCGTCCGCCGAGCCGAGTCCAGCAGGTGGCATCGGGGTGCTGGGCGAGAGGGTGAGCGTGTATATTTGGTGACGCCGGCGCGCCGAGTCAGCGGCCCCCGCC